CCCCAAAACCCCAAAACCCCAAAACCCCATCGGCTAAGATTTTTAAGTTCATGATAAACTTAGCTAGGATAATAAATTAATTATTGAGTTAACTTTGAGTATTGATAAAATAGTATTAATGGAAAGGGAAAATATATTTCACATTTCAAGGTTTGCAAGTATAGCAGATTACTAGCAGTCTTATTTAACTTACAAAAATAGAGACCTACAGGATTCTATAATCAATTTCAAGGAAGCTTCAGAAATTTATAATTCCTTAAATTAAAAAGACTTAGCTATCTTAGCCTAAATTATTCATATCAAGTCCAGCTTAAAATTGCACATCAAGAATTCTCACACTATTTAGTTGATTGAATCATTTTGCAAGAGCAAATAAGATTATTTATTAGATATAAAGGATGAGGAAGACTTCCAAATTAGAGAGCTTTACCTAAATAGGATGCTGGCTACATTTTAATACAAAATTGGCAAATTTAATATTTCATCAGAGATTTTGGATAGAAACTTATAAGCGATTACTGAGAGAGTATAATAAATGAAGAGTTTAAATGATAATTTGCCGTCAATTCACTTTAAGTTGATAATCTTAAAATCCAAAATACTCTTAAAGTAGCATAGATTTGATTAGTTTAACAATTAAATAAAACAACTGAGTTAAATAAGCGATAATTTGTAAGATTAACCAAACTTACAAGAAAAAATTGAGAGATCAAGATTATCCCTATTGCTTAAACAATCTGTATTAATAGGAGATAGGCAATAAACTTTAGAGTTATTAGATTAAATAAAAAATTAATTGAAAGCCTCTGAAGGGCAGTAAGATGACAAAACAAAGCTAATAAAAACAATAATGCTTTATCTATTATCTATGAGATCAATAAAAGAAAGAATGAGAGTATTTGAGCAGGTTAGTTAGCTGCACGAATCTTCTTAAAATCATTATAATCAACAATAAAGATAATAATTCAACTACAAATTTTGCAAAGCAATATTCAGGCACTTCTAGGAAATGATAAGTTTAACTCCTACAAATATAGTAGAATATTACAATTTAGAGATTTTCAATCTGATTAAACCTTATGTTAGTAGAAATATCCCAGGTGAGTCTTTTATCAAATAATATTTCTCCTGCATAAAGTCTTTCATAAAACTCATTCGTTCAAATGATAAAGAAAAATAAGAAATGCAAGAAGTATTTTAAAGTAAATTAAAAGTATTGAGAAGAGAAAATTTATATCATAGCGAAGATTAAAATTAAGCTATTAAAAATTTATTTGATTGTCAAACTACAATAAATGAATTTATGCATTAGAAGAGCAAATTTATTTTTAGCAATAAATAAAACTTGCTTCAAATTTAAAACGACACTTCGAATAGCAATTATTAAATTCCAGAGGATTTAAAGCAAAAATAAATTTAAAGTTTATCAAAACAATAATTAGAAGAGAATAGTTAAATAATAATATAAGAAGAGGATAGCATATAAATATTGTTAAAAGACATTCATTTGCTTAAATAGTAGATGACTAAAAGTTAAGAAAATAACAGTAGTATCTAAGATTAACAAATATTAAGTGACACCTACTAGTATATTAGTAACTAATTATAAAGTCATGAATTCCTTCATATATTCAAGAACAGCGTTATTTTACAAGAATATTAAGAGTTAGGTCTAGAAATATAAAAGCAAGAAATTTTTCTAAAACTCTAGGAAAGTGATCTAAGCTAGGTAAGTTATTTTTCAAACATTTTACAGAATATATTGAACAAGTCAACTAATAATTCTTCACTCCAATAGCATATTTTAATGACTTTATATTTTAGAAAATTATTGAATTTGCTCATTACTGCAAAGAATCTTTCTTGGTATTAAGTATAAAATTCTATAATTAAAAAATTCAGCCCTATCTTGATTTTCTTATTAAAATGGGAATATCTATTGAGCAAGTCACTTAAATTTAAGAGGAGATCTACAAAATAATGAGTTTATACGATAATAATAATGATCTTATCCAATTTTAACTTTACTATATGAATTTGCTCTTAGAAAATTACAATGACTTGCCAAAGACATTGAGTATATGCTAAAAAACTGATACATTTATTAGAGAAATGCTGAATGATGATTAAAATAGCGGGCAAGATTTCTAAACAGAAAATAAGTGTGAGCCTTACTGGATTTTAGAATTTTTATTATTCAAGACATCACTTTCCATCAAATGTAAAAAGTTTAACTATGCCCAAGATATCTTGAACTAAATTGAAAAAGTAACAAAAGAATAACTAAGGACACATCAAATCTAGATAGAGCATTATCAGCAAATCAAGATTAGTCTCCTAAAAATTGAAATTTAAACTAATTTAACTGAAGATATAAGAGATATCAAAGAGTATGCTTATGAGCTTATGTAATTATAACATAAGATATTGATGGATGATAGCTAAGAAGGAAAGCTATTATAGTATTTGAATTAAAGAGTAAACGAAAGAGTTGAGCAAAAGGATAAATTGCTAGAGGAGCATGCAAATTTGCAGTTGGTTAAGTAAGTTGCTGTATTAGCAGGAGCTTCTTATGCAGCCTATAGAATTTACAAATGGATAATGAGCCGCAATTGAATAAATTAATTGAATATTGATCTGATTAATCAAGAGATTTTATAATTTACAAGATATTTTTTAGAATGCTTCTAAAACGGGGTTTTGGGGTTTTGGGG